GGTGTAGAGGTGGTCGAATATACGCCACGCTCCGGAAGGACTGTCGTCGAAAATTGCGATAAAATCGCTGAATTGGTCGAAAGAGATCAGCATAGCATCGGTCAAGAGCTGGGCAAAAAAAAAAAAAAAATTTCGTGAACAATTGATAATTCAATAAAAATACCGCAAGACTTTTTGACAACCTAATATGTATATACTTACTTAAGTGACCTTCATGGCATGACAAACGCGGTTGATGCTGAATGAGACTACTCATAATTTCAGTTCATCACCATAAATGAGGAAATCTCATCTAAATATTCTACTAACATATATCAATAGTAAAGACCGTACTAATATCCAATTTATACTCTTCATCATCCACATAACCAGTAAGACTCACTTGATAATCTTAATTTCCGCCGCAGCAACGACCATTACCATAATAGTCACTCATTTCTTAGTATAACAAGTCAAATTTCAAGGATCATCGACAGCTTGATAGCCGTGTCTGCATGTGGCAATTTATTATGCGGGCTCATCTGCGCCAGACAGCCGCTTCAAACAGCGCTCGCAAAGCAACCACAGAGAGGCACAAGGCACCTAACCACAACTTCAGCATACCCACACACTTTAGAGCGACTTCACCCACACATTTGTGAGCGGCTTCAAATGCATATGTGTGTGTGTGTCGTTTGCATTTGCATTAGTTGGGTAAGACGCTTGCGGTTGTGCCGTCTCGATTTCGGCAAAGTTTCGTAACTTTCGGAAAACTTGTTTTAGTTAAAAGACTTTGTCAAAATGCTATCACCGGAATTTAACAAAGCTTGCGGTAACCCCTTCACTTTGCTTAGTGCTGAGTGTGTATTTTTGTAAGGCATTTGCTGATTGTTGTTGTTTTTTGTCTTCCTGAACAAAGGGCTTAGTGAAGGTAAATGCGAGAATGAATGAAAATGTTAATGATGTGTGAAATTATTTGGTTAGTTTATGAAAATGATACGGTTAGTCGAAGAATGTTAAAGCACACAGTCACATATGAACACGGAGAGAGAGAGAGAGACACTGAGAGATGTGGAGAAACAAGTAGCTGTTTAGCATGGTGTTTTGAGGTATTCTACTATTATTTTATTATTCTACTACTATCTTTTAGGTGAGCGAATATTTTACTCTCGCTTGCTACCTACAATACTCTATCTATCTCTTGCCCTCTCTCTCTCTCTATCTATCTATCTAGATAATATAGCCGTCAATGAAATAAATGCATTTTCCTCGAATGTTTCTTGGTTACACATAAGTACTGCCGAACAACGAACGCTTGCTTGTTGACTCGAAATCCTTCCGTGATATCCGTGATAACTATAAATAACCGATAAGCTTGCTCTGCCATTTGCCTATTTATATTTCAGCACTCTTTTCGTTCTTTCTCCACTTACTTCTTAGTCTAGTCCAATTTTACGATTTATGGCATACAGTCGGGAAGTGTGATAAATTTGCCATGACATGTCAATTACGCTGTGCTTCATTGCGTGCAATGTCATCGGCACATAGCGACAGCGAAAATTGCTTTAGATCATACTTATATAGGCACTAGTAACTTTTAGGGTCCTCACTCCATGTTATGTGCTGAGAGGGTTACAATATGACAATTGTGCATTGTATAGACGTTATTACAGTTGGTTGCATGCCATCATTTACGGTTAATTTACGCGAGTGTGTGAGTGATAAAGGTTTAAGGGGCTTACAAGATGTTTCTATTTCAATAATATGTATTTTGAGTAGGTTGCCTTAGATTTTGTTTGCTTTTAATTAGATCTTATACATTTCATTTTAATACAATGGAAGGGATAAAAAAACTCACTCATTGCTCGCAATCTAATTTAGAGATAGAAGCTCTAACTGTTGAAATGGAAACTTTCTGAAACAGCTTTTGGTATTGAAATGCTCCAGGTTTTTGTCAACTCTAAAACATATTTGTACCTAAAATGGTGAACCATATCGACAACAATGCATCAAATTGAACTCAAGCCGAAAAAACGTCCAGTATTCGCTCGATTTCCTGCTACAAAATGCGTTAAAAACTATTTTGAAAGCAGCGGCTGGTAAATTTTGCCTTATCTGCCTTACAGCTTAGACATTTCCTCTTTGTCCACACTAGATTTCGGGTCACAGTCGAACAGGGTAGGAAATATTCGTTTAATTCATTATTGGCCCCCAAGCATCGGAGGCTCAACTCAACCGACAAAAATACGTGAACAAAAACGTCTTGAAAGATATTATTATTATATATTTATTTGCAAGAATGTTTAATTTTTTTCTTCATTAGTAAACTTTCGAGTTTATACAAGTAGTTTTGAAGTTTCATCACTTCAATTCTTACGGAAGTGCAAATGTGAACTTTCTCTGTGAAGCAAACAACAACATCTGCATACAACGTAACAATTTAAGCATTAGTAGGGCCTTGATATATGAAATACATATTGAATGAGTTCCATTAATACTCTGCTTTTCCCTCATGAGAGATTTTCTTGTGCAGTAAT